CCCAGATATGGTTTTCTTTTTTAAAATTCCCCTGGCTGTTTGGGGTCTTTTCTGATTCCACACAAATCTTAAAATAATTTGTTCTAAGTCTCTGAAGAAAGTCCATGGTATTTTGATAGGGATTGCATTATACGTGTAAATTGCCCTGGGTAACATTGACATTTTCACAATATTAATTCTGCCAATCCATGAGCATGGAATATTTTTCCATCTCTTTGTGTCTTCCTCAATTTCTTTCAGAAGTGTTCTATAGTTTTTAGGGTATATTTTGAGAACCATTTGAATGGTAAATGGTTCTCCAACCATTTTCAGGTTGTAGGTGTCCTTCTGTCTAAAATGAGTCTCTTGTAGACAGCAAATAGATGGGTCCTGCTTTTTTATCCAGTCTGAAACCCTGCGCCTTTTGATGGGGTCATTAAGCCCATTCACGTTCAGAGTTACTATTGACAGATATGAGTTAGTGTCATCATGATATCATTCAGTCCTTGTTTTGTGGATTGTTCACTGAACTTCTTCTTAAAGGGGAGTTTTAAGAGTCCCCCTTAAAATTTCTTGCAGAGCTGGTTTGGAGGTCACATATTCTTTCAGTTCCTGCCTGTCTTGGAAGCTCTTTATCTCTCCTTCCATTTTGAATGAGAGCCTTGCTGGATAAAGTATTCTTGGTTGCATGTTCTTCTCATTTAGGACCCTGAATATATCCTGCCAGCCCTTTCTGGCCTGCCAGATCTCTGTGGAGAGGTCTGCTGTTACCCTAATATTCCTCCCCATGAAAGTCAGGGACTTTTGTCTCTTGCTGCTTTAAGGATCTTCTCTTTATCTTTGGAATTTGCGAGCTTCACTATTAAATGTCGAGGTGTTGAACGGTTTTTATTGATTTTAGGGGGGGATCTCTCTATTTCCTGGATCTGAATGCCTGTTTCCCTTCCCAGATTGGGAAAGTTTTCAGCTAGGATTTGTTCAAATACATATTCTGGCCCTCTGTCCCTTTCGGCGCCCCCGGGAACCCCAATTAAACGTAGGTTTTTCTTCCTTAGACTGTCATTTATTTCCCTTAATCTGTCTTCATGGTCCCTTAATTGATTGTCTCTTTTTTCCTCAGTTTCCCTCTTTGCCATTAACTTGTCTTCTATGTCACTCACTCGTTCTTCCACCTCGTTAACCCTCGTCGTTAGGACTTCTAGTTTGGATTGCATCTCATTCAATTGATTTTTAATTTCTGCCTGATTGGATCTAAATTCTGCAGTCATGAAGTCTCGTGAGTCCTTAATGCTTTTTTCTAGAGCCACCAGTAGCTGTAGAATAGTGCTTCTGAATTGGCTTTCTGACATTGAAGTGTAATCCAGATTTTGTAACTCTGTGGGAGAGAGGGCTGTTTCTGATTCTTTCTTTTGAGGTGAGGTTTTCCTTCTAGTCATTTTGCTCAGTGCAGAGTGGCCAAAAACAAGTTGTATTGGAACACGGGGGAGTATCACTGGTCCGTCCAGCTGGTCTTCTGGGGGAGGGGCCTGCTGTGCTGATTTTCAGGTGTTAGCACTTGGGGGAGCTGCTCTGCCCCTGCCTGCTCACGGGGGTTGTTTACCCCGTGGGGCCCCAGGAGGAACAGCCGCAGTTGCTATGGCAACTCTGGAAGCCTGGATTCAGCCTCCGCAGGAACTACGGGGCTCGGGGCTCTCGGCTCTCCGTCCGCAGGGCCTGGAGGCTCCGGGGCGGGGCCGCTGATCTGCTCAGCTCGGGGCAGGAGCGTCCTTGCTGTCCTGGGCCCTCCCGGCCTCTGCCTGTCCCGGGGGAGGCCGGATCCTGGGCTGTGTCCCGGCGCCCTGTGCTCCGGGGCCTGCGCTGTGGGATTCGCGCTCCCGCCCCGCAGCCCCCTCCGCGGAGCCGCCGCCCGAGCCCCTCCGAGCTGCTCCGGTCGGTCCCGCCGTGCGCGCTGCAGCCCTTAGGGACCTCGGAGCACTCTCCCGGGGCGCAGGTGTCTGTTAGTGTCCCCGGGAGCCCGAGGGCATCCCCGCCCTCCTGGGTCCTGCTCCACCTCCCTGCGAGCCCCTTTCCGCCCGCCCGGGAAGGTTGGTGCAGCTCCTGCTCCTCCGGGACGGGGCTCTCCTGTCCTGGGGACACTCGCCCCGGCCTCAGCCCGGCTCCTCGCGGGGCCCCTCCCCCTCGGAGGCCTTTTGTTCCTTTATTTCTTTTTCCCCGTCTTCCTACCTGGATAGAAGCGCGGACTCTTCTCACTGTAGCGTTCCAGCTGGTCTCTCTTTACATCTCAGGCCGAATCCGTAAATTTTCAGGATGGTTTGAAGGTTATCTAGGTAATTTGGTGGGGACAGGCGATTTGGGGACCCTGCTCTTCCGCCATCTTGCCCCTCCCCCCAATATATTTTCTTAATGGTGGTTGCCCAGTGATATCAAAAGGTTATTCTTGGGGCGCCTGGGTGGCTCAGTGGTTGAGCGTCTGTCTTTGGCTCAGGTTGTGATCCTGGGGTCCTGGGGTCCTGGGATCCAGTCCTGCATCGGGCTCCTTGCACAAAGCCTGCTTCTCCCTCTGCCTGTGTCTCTGCCTCTTTCTCTGTGTCTCTCATGAATAAATAAATAAAATCTTAAAAAAAAAAAAAAGGTTCTTCTTTAGACATTACCCTTAAATACCTTCCCTTGGTCTGATATCAAGCTCACCTAACTCCCTTCCTGATTATTTGGCTTTCCATAGAGCTGGCTGGCTGGGGGTGGGCAGCACTAGCCATGCTGACATCACTGTTATCCATCTGATTTTCTATTTCTCATTATAAGCAAATGCACCTCAACAGATTTTTCATCCTCCATCCCCAACCCTTCCTTAGGGTCTAGCAAACAGAAAGTAGTAGTATATAACGCAGGTCAAAGCAACGAAAAGACACAGAGTCCCTTTGAGCATAGTGACACACAAGCATAAGTTCATTCTTGGCCATCTCCAGGCTAATTGTCTTATTGATGCTTGACCCTGTGTCAGACATCAAATAAAGGGTTCTGGTCTTCATCTCTCACTGTGTTACTCAGAAGTCTTTCTCATGCAAGGGACAGAAATCCAACTTGAGGTGGCCAAAGAATAAAAACAGGGATGGATTTTGTAGGTTACGATAACTAAAAAAAAAAAAAAAAAAAAAAAAACAAAGATAGAGTCCTTGCTGCAGGTATGGCTGGATCCAGGCATTCAAATGATGTCATCACGGCTGTTTCTGACCCCCTCCCTCATTTTTCTTCTGTGCTGGCCTTACTGGGGCAGATTCTCTGCACACTGTGGTCCTGGCAGCCCCAGGGCTCCATCCTCCAGTGTGGAAACCTAGCAGTAAGAGAAACTTCTCAACGGAAGCTCCAGAATTAGTTGAATCTCACTGGTGTGGTTTAGACGGCTTGCCTGTGTCTGAATCGACTGCTGCAGCCAATAGGGTGGAATATGCTGACTGTCTGCCCTGAATCACATCACCCTCCCCTTTCCACAGAATGGGAGTCACATGGAATGACAGTGGTTGGCAGTGGTGGCCTGAAAGAAAAACAGGCCCTCGGAGAAGGGGAAATGGATACTGGGCCTGGGGAAAAAAACAGATGCCCGGCATCAGATCCAGGGCCCCTTTCAGCTTGATCTGAGGGAAAAGATTAATGGAAAGAAACAGCCGATTGTCACGCTGAAGGCCAAGAAGAAATACCTTGGCAGAGGTGGAATTTGGGGAACTGGATTTCAGAGACAGAGGCCCCCCGGGGGGGGGCACAGAGGATGAAGCAGGAGTGCAGCACCTGCCCCTTGCGGGGGAGGGAGGAGCTGATCGATAGAGCTGGACTCCGTGTGGACCTCAACAGGTGACGTGGGCGGTAAAGGACCGTTTGCCACGTCCTCCTGGAGTCGGGGAAGCCTACGTGAGGCATTTTTTTGAGGGAGTGGATGGGGCCACCCCACCCTCTGATGTTCAGGGCAAAGTAGGGGGATCACGTTTTCTTAACTGCACGCTGCTTACGTCTACCAGTCCCACGTGAGTCCTGGTAAGGGAGTCAGCTGCCTGGAGGCCACACGACTTTGCGTTCCTGGGAACCTGACCTTGGATCTTGGAAGATTCCACAAGGCTCTGGCCCCATGGGAGTCCACTTGGGAGGCTGCCAGCAGGCCTGCCCTGACCACACCCTGTTTTTGCTCCCAGGCCTCACAGTGCCTCCCTTAGAGGCTGTGCCAGGACCCCAGGAGGCTGGGGGCTTGGCTCAAAGTCATCCCAAACACATGGTAGCTGCCCTTGCCACTACCGAGTATGGATGCGTCTTGCACACAAGAAATGGCCCCTTATCATTAGGTATGGGGAGGAAAGCAGGCCCCGAGAGTGATGCTCGTGAATCCATAGCCGTTGATTCAGCTGCTATGACAAAAAAGGAACTGGCTACAGTAGCAGGTGCTAAAGACCCATGAGCAGCTCGGGTTGGGCTTTTTCTATGTTGGCCTGCGCTCTCTTCTCCCCTACCGCCCGCCACCCACTTAGAGTTTCTGTTCCCATCACTTCTCTCTTTTTCACGAGGCTACCTGTTTGCAAATGCACTCGAAGCACAGCGCTGTTCTCCACTGATCTTGACCCTGGAAGGTTTTTTTCTGAAACGTGGCCATGGGTGTTATTTCTCAAGGTGGGTTCCCCAGTCCACCTGTGTCAGCATCACGATGTCTGTCAGCTGTGCCCAGAGATTCCTAGATCCCATCCAGACCTGCTGGATCACAGTCTTTGAATTTGGGGCATAGAGATGTGCCTTTTTAAAGGCTCCAGGGATGGGAGTGTGGGGTGGCGACCCTAATGCAGCTCAATGCTCCTAAGCCATCATCTTGCTGGGGCTCCTGAGGCACCTGGCCGCGACAGCAAAGTCCTGACTCACCACCGCACAGGCCCCGCCCCTCCAGGCCTTTCTATCGGGCAACTCGAGGTCTCCAGGTCCACGGGTTACTGATTAACCCTAGGCTTCAAGAAAAGAAATAACAATAACTCGAGAGAAGACGTAAGCCAAGAAACAAGCTGGGCAGCCCCAGGAGAGGAATGACAGACGGCTGTTGTCACCAGACGCCTGACAAGGACCAGAGGGAGGCTGAGACGCCCGGCCCGAGGCCAGGCTGCATCCAGGTCCCAGCAGCGCCTGCGGACACCCCCTGGCAATGCCCAGGCCCTGAGCCACCGCAGCCCGCTGACGCCGTGCCCGGAATGGCCTGCGCCGAGGTCCCCCAGCCGCCAGCCCCACGGCAGCCCCAGCCCGTCTCTGCAAAGGCCACCACCGCCACCGAGGCCTCGGGCCCTGCCGGGGACCACGGCACCTACGCGGATGGCGACCTGGAGTGCCTGGTGTGCCGGGAGCCCTACAGCTACGTCCGGCCCCCCAAGCTGCTGGGCTGCCAGCACTCCTTCTGTGCCGTCTGCCTGAAGCTCCTGCTGTGCCTCCAGGACAACACCTGGTCCATCGCCTGCCCGCTGTGCCGCAAGGCCACCGCGGTCCCCGGCGGCCTCATCTGCAGCCTGCGCGACCACGAGGCCGTGGTGTGGCGGCTGGTCCGGCCGTGCCCGGAGGTGCGGCTCTGTCCTCAGGGACTGGCAGATCCTGCCAGCGTGGCAGCAGGGTGCCCCAGCTCGGTGGGCGAGGACGGACAGGATGCGGCAAGTGCCAACCGCGTGGCGGCCCGGCGCCTGGCAGCACACTTGCTCCTGCTGCTCGGGCTCATCATCCTCATCCTGCCCTTCATCTACCCGGGCATCGTGCGGTGGGTGCTTGCCGTCGTTATCTCCTTGGCCCTGCTAATGTCCTCCCTCTTCTGCTGTCACCCCCGCAGCCAGGGCGGCTGCCGGCCGGCCCCCAGGACTCTCTTCTGCAGAGGACGGAAACACAGCGACATCTCTTCCATCGCCTGAGCGCGCTCCAAACAGATGGTACCTGCTGCCTCTTGGGCCCCACTGGGCTCTCAGTGAACAGGGTAAGGGGCTATGAACTAAGGCTGCTTCCCTCGGGGGATTGCATGCCAGCTGGACTTGCAAGCCGAAGCCGGGTGGCTGTGCTGGGTCAAGAACTACGTGCCTAGATGACAGACACGTCTACCCAGGGCACAGCACGTCTACACCACTCGGGGTGGGGAGGGGCACATATGACTTGAACACCGCCAGCGGCCTCCTGTTCCTCCCATTCTGATGCCCCTGGGTTTTCTTTATATACTTTGATGAACTTTTTGCAGAACAAATAGAACCAAGACTCCTTTTTTTTGTAATTTATGTAGCCGGTTTTATTTTCTTGCTTTGTTTTGGTTTGGTCTTCTGCGTTTGGGGCAGTTTGTTCAGATTTGTAGCTGTTTGTTTTTCCTCCTGGAAGTCAGAGCCCACGGGAAGTCCTCCTGTGTGCTGCCCACCTGGTGCCCATCCACCTCGACAAAGGTCCTGGCGGCTCGGGTGTCCCCCTGAGTCACCCCCAGGGACAGAAGGGGAGAATTTGTGTAAAGGAGCAGTTCTGAGGCTGCAGGGGGTTCCACATTTAGTTGGCAGATTTGGGGAGGGATGGAGAGGATGTAGAGGGAATTCCTCCCAGAAGCAGCACCAATTGCCCAGCCGATGTCATTGACTTCACAGAGAATCTCAGGGTTATAAGGTCCCCCCGGCCCCTGCCCAAGAAGCAGGTCCCACTGCCTATCAGATGCACCGTCTCACACTATGGAATCAGCTCTTTACGGATGTTGTTTTTCCTGCATTATTGCATTTCAATTCCCATCTGAGCTTTTGTCGGAAAGATAAGAGGCCCCATAAATGCAACAGTTCTTGACGATAACTCCACCTTTCCTGCCTCGCCCTGACAGTCATAGTTGTCTGAAAGATAGCTCTGGAATACAAAGGAGGCTTCCGCTGGAGGGAATGACTTCCATGGTTGCCAGGATCGAGTCTTAGCCAAGACAGGAGCCCTGGGGGGTGCAAGGGAACAAAGGGTGGGAGATGATGCCTTGTTTCCTTTCAAAGGCCTCATAATTGGGAAGCAGACGTGAAACCTCAGTGAGGCTCACTGGGCATGATCTGTTGTCCTTCACTGCACCCACCTTTCCTCCTGGTGGGATGACAGTGGTAGGTTGGATGCTCATTCATGGCTATTGTACCTCTGTTAGGGAGGGAGAAGAGACGTCTACTATTGGAGCACAAAGGGCTGATCCTGGCCCCATGGGTACTTGTCCAGCAAGATCCTTTGCCTCTTTGAGCTTTCTCTTCCCTGGAATGAGTTACTTGGATTGGATTATTCCTAAGACTCCTGAAGCCCAGAAACTGGGGGCACTGTTGGGCCCCTGAACAGTGGACATGAGTCACATCCCCTCTGAACTCACACAGAGAAAATTCAAAACATAAGGATATATGCAACAAGCTGTTCTTCAAATCTGGGTGCCTTCCTTTGTTTCTTATAAAGGTATTTCCAGGGATCCCTGGGTGGCGCAGTGGTTTAGCGCCTGCCTTTGGCCCAGGGCGTGATCCTGGAGACCCGGGATCGAATCCCACGTCGGGCTCCCGGTGCATGGAGCCTGCTTCTCCCTCTGCCTGTGTCTCTGCCTCTCTCTCTCTCTGTGTGTGTGCCTATCATAAATAAATAAAAATTAAAAAAAAAAGGTATTTCCAGGGCAACTGCACCACCCATGCTATCGGCCGCATTTACTCCTCATGCTAAGAGTATGTGTGAGTGTGTGTACGTGTGCATGAGCCCACGCTCTTAAGCCAAGGCCAGGTGGACCTAAGAACACCCTGTCTTCCCAGGATAAGTAAATGATGGAAATCGCTCAGCATTTCCAGAACTGGCCTCGGGCGTGTGCAGTTTGGGATGGTTGCCAATAGGATAGGGAAAGAACACTGTCTCCCCATTCACCTCCATTCACATTCCTTCTAGTTCTTGACCCCTCCACCAAGATTTCAGTTGCCAACAACAGCCCCATCTCTGCCATCACAATGGCGTCACACATTTATTGAGTGCCTTCAACGTGCCAAGCACTACACTGACCGCTTTACATGAATTATCTAGCTAAATCTGCGTAACAAACTTATGAAGTAGAAATCATCTTGCCAATGAAGAGACTGAAGATCAGAGAGGTAAATCCATTTGCCTAAACTCACACAGCCAATCGCTTTCAGAGTTCCCCAAGGGATTAATCCAGAGCTCTTTCTGTTCCATCAAGCTGCCTCCTTTCCGTGACAATCCAAACCAACCAGGAAGTTGGTTGCTGCAAGGCAGAACAGGGAACAAATCTCAGGAGGCTCTGAATTCCAGAGTCAGGTTCCCAGGGAGGCCACAGAATTCCAGAACTTGTGGTCTGCACCAATGAAAAAAAAGGGGGTGCTCCTGGGTGGCTCAGTCGGTTGTGTCCAACTCTTGATTTCAGCTTTGGTCATGATCTCAGGGTCATAGATCGAGCCCCATGCAGGTTCCACACAAAGCATGGAGTCTGCTTGAGATTCCCCCCCCCCTCTCTCTCTCTCTTTTTCTCTCTCTCCCTCTGTCCTTCTCCCTCTGCCCTGCCCCTCCTCCCATGCTCTCTCCCTCTAAAATAAATAAATAAAATCTTTTAAAAGGAAGAAGAAGAAGAAAGAAAAAGAAAAGAGAATTATAAAAATGGAATGGCTTTCCTATAGACTTTTACTACCCAGCCCCAACCTCCCCTGCAGGAAGCTGTGTTGGCACATGGCCCCCAACCATTGGCCTCCCGTCTCCATTGGGGAAAGATGTTCTGACACAGCTGTCTCCACCCCCTGTGAAGCCAGCTGGTCCCAAGCACCCTCTGGCTCTGGCCGTATGCGCATGGAGGACACAAGAGACCAATATTGGTCCAGACTGTCCTGGGGAGCAGGGGGAGAAGAGAGGAAACAGGCAGCTCTGCAAAAGAATGTATGTGGGTGAATCCAGAGAGGCGAGCCTAAGCTCAAAGCTAAGCTCTGACCCAACGTATGACGAGTTGAAGTTACAGAACTTCTCTGAGCCTCACTTTGCTCACCTGTAGGGGGGATGCCACACACCTCCCAGGGCCCCCATGAAGATTCAAAGTGCTACTGGATGAGAATCCCATGCCCTAACAGGCTGCCTTTGTCATCAGTCAGTGACCCTTGTGGGTGAATGGGCTTCCTGGGGCCTGCTGAGTGTGATAGCAGGCTCAGGGTTGGCCTTGATAGTGGGGTGAAGCCAGTCCAGAGTCGGCGGGTTGCGCAGGACAGGCCAATCTGGTAGAGAACTTGGCGCTTAGGTCCTAAGAACAAAGAGGAATTGCAGGGAGAGGCCAAATTTTATCCTTATCAGACCATTTCCCTATTCTGCGGCCTTGCAGTCAGACATAGCTGGCTTGATTCTAGCACCACCGTTCACAAGCCCCCTCACCTGTCTGAGGCTCGGGGTCCTTACGCATGAAATAGAGGTTATGGTATATATATCATAGGGTTGCTAGGGGAGGGCTGAAATAGCCCTTGGCTCAACGCTGGGATTACAAGGAGTTAAAGAAGGGAAGGAGAAGACAAGGTGGAAGAGATGGGTTGAGTTCTAGAAAGCACTAACAGGAATGATGAGAGCAGGCTCATCTTATTTTATTCAACCTTATTGATAGGGAAGTCTGCTAAAGCCTGGCCACTAGAATTCATCTCTTAAGTCTGCTAAAGCCTGGCCACTAGAATTCATCTCTTCTGTTATCACCCTCAGCATCAGCAGAGTTCTCAACAATAATTAATAAAATAATCACTAACATGACCTGAGTGCACTGTGCAAAGTGTATTACACATGTTATCATATATGCTATAAAGTAGGTACTATTATTACCCCCCACTTAATTATCAACAGGGCTTCTGAGGCACAGAGAGGTTAAGTAGCTTGTTCAAGATCACACAGGGAGGCAGTGGTGGCATCAAGAGGGCACCATAGAAGTCCAACTCCAGAGTTTGGACTTTGGGTCACTTAGCTGTATCTGATGGATCATTCCTGGCATATCATGAGTGTTCATGGTATGTGGGTGCCGAGGCCTGAAGGGTACACAATTAAGAAGAGGTGAAGTTCCTCCATTTGGTTACAGCCTCCCGACTTAGTAGGTGCTTGGGGCACAGGGTTGTGAGAACCCACGTGTCCCATTACCTACAGGCACTTTCTCATCTCACCTGACAGCCCCTGTTCACTGTTGGAACTTCTTTTCAAATGCCTAGAGGAAGTTTTTCAGTCTTTGCTAAAGCAATGAATTCTTTGTGGCAGAGGAAAGCGTTTCCAGGAATGAGGGACCTGCCTGCCATTTCTCAGGCTGTAGGAACAGCATAGAACACAAAGAGAAACCAGATCTGAATTTTTGAATCTGCCTGGAGCTGTTCTTAGGAACTTTATATTCTTGTCTGAATATATTGAAATCACCTTTTTAAGAGGGGGGAAATATTTCCTGGGTCAGTAGAGAACTCTCTGAGGACTCGAGAACACTCTGGAATCTAGGATCCATCCATGCATTTATGCAACAAACATTTATTGAGGGCCGGCTCTATGCCAGGTATTTAATCTTATTCAATAAGGAAGTTTGATGAGGAAGGAAAACTATATGCTGACCACCTGGAAGGGGTTGGATTGTGGCCCCCTCTCGAAAAGAAAATATACTGGAGCCCTAACCCCTATAACTTCAGAATGTGACCTTCTTGGAAATAGGGTTTTTAAGAGACAAACCCTATCATCCAATATGACTGTCCTTCTAGAAGGAGAAAGTGTGGACATGGAGACAGACATGCACGGAGGGAAGACAAGGTAAGGATGCCATGTGGGGAATGAAGGCAGGTTGAGGTGATGTTTCTACAAGCCAAGGAACGCCAACGATGGCCATCAAACCACCAGAAACTGTGAGAAAGGCTTGGAACGGATTCTCCCCCAGAACTCTCAGCAGGAACCAACCCTGATGACACCAGGATCTTGGACTTCAGCCTCCAGAAATGTGAGGGACAATTTCTGTTGTTGAAGCCACTCAGTTGCTAGGACAGCCCTAGGACACCACACCACACCTTTCCTGTGCCTGTCCTCGTGCTGTGCCCCTCAGCTAGGCTACTTCAAGTTGAGCCTATAACTTGCCTAGAGTCTTGCAGCCCATATGTGGGAACATCAGCTCACGTTGAGTCTCATTGACTCTTGGGACTAGGTCCTACATCTTCCATTCATGGATGGGAAATTGAGGCTCAGAGAAGCCCAGTGATTTCCCCCCAAAAAAGTGCCCGACATGTTAGAGGTAGATTCATCACCCACATTTCTGAAATATCCTTAACTTTTGCAACAACCATATGAGAATTACTGGATAATTATTCCCATCTCACAGATTAAAGGCTTCAAACCCAGAGTGTCGGTGCCTCCATCGTGTATGTGCCTTTCTGTACATATTTCATAGTTAAAAAAAAACAATTTAGGGGATGCCTGGGTGGCTCAGCGGTTGAGCGTCTGCCTTCAGCTCAGGTCATGATCCTGGGGTGTCGGGATCAAGTCCCTCATCGGGTTCCCTGCAGGGAGCCTGCTCCTCCCTCTGCCTGTGTCTCTGCCTCTCTTTCTGCATCTCTCATGAGTAAATAAATAAAATCTTAAAAAAAAAAAAACAATTTAAGCCCAACAACATAATTCTATGGAGTCTGAGCAGCTTGAGGACAAAGACTCAGTGTGAGTGAAACTGGTACTTGGGGCTAATCCCGTGCTGACATGTCTGCCCCAGGGTGGTAGAGCTTTGTGGGTGATGCTGAAGACTGTCTGGTTTGCATCCTGCCTCTACCACTAACAGCTGTATGAACGAGTCCCTAATCTCCAACTCTCTGAACCTCAGTTCTCACGTCTGTATAAAGGGGAAATAATCACAATCACAGATTTGTGAGCACCTGTGATCAAACAGGAGCACCTGTAGAGACCACTCAGCATGGTATATGGACACAGAGGATGTGCCGATGACCCAAACATTAACTGCTCTACTTAGACAAAAAAGATGGGTGAACTGGCTCATTTAACCAAGTGGTGGCAAGGGCGGTTAGCTTCCTGGTGGACGTTGGTAATGATGAAACCACGGCCTGGGCCTTCCCCATTCAGACTGTTTCTCCCCATTTCTGCCTCCTTTTCTCTCTGCATTTGGATTTTGGGTTTTGTTCTCTCCGACCAGCTTTTTTCCATTAGCTTGGAAACTTGACCATCTCCTGCTGATGTCTTCCTCACTTCACCTCCGGAAAGAAAGAGACAAGATTCTTTCTTTGGTAAATGATGACAAATCCCGCAGTAAGGACTCCGATTGGTCCTCTTGGGTCACATGCCCTCCTCCTCTGTGACCAGCGGGGCTGTGACTGGCAGTCCCAGTAGAATCTCGTGATGGGGGAGGAGAGGACCTGGGACAAAGGAGGGCGCTGTTGGCAGAGGATGAGGGGAACCGGGGAGACAGACAGTAGTTGATGGCTCAGCAGAGAACCGATGTGAGTAGCAGGTGTGTACGCCAATCCCCCACCTGGACCCCAGTTAATTAGAGGTGAACTTCCACCCTCATTGGCTGGCCTCCTCCCCATCCAATCTCTGTCCAGGTGGGTTCCCATG